TACTAGTAGCGATGCACTTGTTTCTAGTAGCTTCTTGTTACTACTAGCAAGGCCCTTGTTACTAATAGCGATGCACTTGTTCCTAGTAGCTTATTGTTTCTATATTCCATTCATTGGGATAGATTTTGTCCACTCACGTCTCATCGGGTGCCGAAGTCTGCCTCACCCAGTTTGGTCGTGTTCTATCGTGTTCGTAGCCTTAAACGCGGAAGCGGTCATCCAAGTGACCCCAACATCAGGAGAAGCTTTGCGATGGTTCAACGTTCAATGTTTTTTATATTTAAATCTAGCATACACATGCATACACTATATATTTGTATATTATAGTACATAATGCATTTTTTTGTTTGGGGGGGGCGACCCCTATCCTTGCGAGTCACTCTCAGTTCCAAAAACAAGTCTCAGAAAACAACATGCGCCGCGCATCTCAGCAAAATGCATTAGGCTTCTCAAGTGGCAGCGGGTCCTGGACCACAAACTGCGATCGGTTGATGTCTAGCTCGGTGATTTGCAAGACAGTGCCCTCCAAAAAACATGGATCTATATAGTAGTTGTCCATCGTCCAAGTGGCATCAACAGGGATGGCGTCAAAGTTGTAATGCGCCCTAGAATCATTGTCCATTTCCCAAAGAGAATGTGCCCAAGATCTGTTGCATAGACACCCCGCTGCTCATCTGGCTACCGTCGAATAGCCACTGGGGTGGTTAGCCAATGGCTCAACACAAGCCAATAGGCCTGACCATTTCGGAGCTTGGCTTCTAAGGTATAAGCTGAAGAAAGGAGACCCGTCAAGAATGAAAAAGAACGCGTACTTGTATAACTGCAAGTGAACACAAGGGATAGAGGGAAGTGTACAAACAGAGAGAGAGAGAGATAGAGACCGACAGAGAATTGAAAGAGAAGCGTCAAACAAAAGAACATGAGAAAAGGAGATACCCACAAATGATAAGAAATTTGTGAAAAGCGAAGCAATGATGCCAAATGCTTTCAACCTTACCAGAGAAACAGATAGGGCAAAAGTCAGATATATTGATAAAGATGGAAGCAAGAGAAACGCTGAGGAAAACATATTCGAAAGCAATGAAAGCAAAGAGTCAAAAGAGCACTGCGAACAAACAGAAAGAGTGCGCGAGAGAGAGAGAGAGAGACGGGGGCCGCCTTGCTGCAAGCCAATACCACGGCAGATACCATTCGAGACACTTCGAATCGCATGCGCTGCAACAAAAAGCAAAGTGTGCTGGTGCTATTCTCAAAATGAAGAGCGCTCTTGCAATCATTGGGCATGTCTTTTTCTTGTTTTCTACCGCATTTTGTTGTCATGCTTTTTGCTGGGTATGTCTCTCTCTCTCTCTCTTTCTCTCTTTCTTTCTTTTTCTCTCTTTCACTCTCTACAACAGTGTCAGAGTCAACCCCTATGATGTGGAAGACCATTTTCAACGAGCCCTCCTAGCGGTACAACCCTCGCTCTTCAAGGAACGGGCAACGCTGTGACCCGAATTGTTGGGTCATTGTGCCCCAAACAGCAGGGGAGGTACTACCGCTCTCGTCCGCACGCAAACCCTCAGCTGCTTGTAACTCCCCCCCCCTCCGGTGCTCAAACCGCAAACCGCTTTCCAGATCTTTACCACAGCAGAGATCATCCTGGTGCACCTACAGGATCTGACCTTTAGGCGCCACCCGCTCGGGCACACATTCCGGCCAGGAGGGCGCACCTGCGGTGGCCTTTTTGGGTTTGGGTTCCTAAGAATGACGAGGGTAGTTGAGGGGGTTTGTTGTTCATCCACTTTTCTTTGTGAGTCATGTGTTGCATCCTGAACAGAGGCTTGACAGAAGATCCGATGTTGTTGCCGTTGATCTTCCCGACTTACAATAGAAACCTGACCGGTATGCAACGTGATTCCTGGAAATGGTTTCCGCTGTTCCAAGGTGGTGGTCCGAAGGCATGAGTGTTTTAATAGCATATTCCTAGAGAACCAAGAACCCCTAAAGATGTCATACCCTGAAACGACAAATTCATACAAATTCGATCAATTTTGTAGGTTTTGGGTTCCATAGGTCTATTCCAAATCGTTTCTTCATGTCATTGACGAGTGTTTTATTGCCCCATCGATCTTGGTGAGCTTCACCAGATACGTGCGGCGTTCGAACACGAACAGAGACCGAGAAAAATCTTTTGTTTCATTTCTCTCGAATCTGGTCCCCACACTGTGCCGCGTTGGCCGCGGCCAGTCGACGCCATGACCCAGCGACGGGCTTTGGAGAACTGGTGGTGCAAAGGAACTGGCCACGAGTCGGCCACGGTGTGGTAAGCGGCCTACTTCTCTCAGTCCTTGTCTCTCAGCAAGTTTGAAAGCTGCAAGTTTGACCCGGTCTAGAAAAAAGATGATAGTACACCCCCTGGAGCTAACGCGGAAGTGGACATGGCATGTTGGAAAAGAATTTTCCTCTACAAGCAGGGGTTTTCCACTTGCGTGTTAGTTCCATGGGCAAATTGCAGAGGAACAACTGGCCGACAACAAGGCTTTGACAAGAAGGAAAGCCGCAAAACCTATTGGTTGGGATTACCCTATTCCAGACACACACCCCATTTCAGCGGACCGTGACAGACCGCCGCCTTTTGGACGAAACCGGAACCATACACAGCCCATTTATCTTCCTTCTCTGTCGTGCCGTTGTGTGCCGACTCAAAGTCCAAGCAGCTGAGATTGCTTGTCGTGACCATTGACCATTGGGTTTCTTAGGGACTGACAAGAGATCGGAACTCGTCCTTCGCATCACTCCGATGAGATCACTACATACTGCTGCAGAGTGGTGCCACCGAGACTCCAAGAGGGGCAGAGTGGTTGAGCGATTTCATGCCCTTGTCTCTTCAAACCTTTTTTTTTTTTTCTGTTTGAACATCACTTGAACAGGGTAGAGCGGACCATGGACCATGGATGTATGTATCGGACCCATGCTGCATGCCATGATTTCGGCAGAATTTTTCATTGCATGGGCGGCACGCTCGGTAGAATCTTCAGTTGTTGAAAGCTGGGGCAGTACCTTTGTCTAGGAGCAACCAAGGACCTCCAAACCCGGGTTTTTCTGAGATCCCAAATCCCTCGAACACATTCGAGCTCACCAAGGCTTATTTGATCCTGAGAAAACCCAGCTGAGCAGGGAGCTCCAAGCGCTCGTCTCCCACCGTCGTGGTCTCCTGCAGCGCTGGTCGTGTGCGCGAGCTCGCTCGTGCGGAGGGGTCTGAGGTGCGGGTTCGGAGGTGAAGAAAAGCGAAGACAGACCGAGGTGAAAGGCAGAGTGGATGAGCATGGAGAAAAGTTACATTTGGCTACAAATGAAATTCCAGTTGACTCTAAGGGTTCCAACCAATGGTTACTAGGCAGTTCGTTGGGCGAAGGTCTGCTCGGTCTGTTCTGTCTCTGTAGTGAGAAAGCCTGGAAGAGTGGTACAGCGTGCCTTTACCACTCCAAGACAAGACGTTGGATGCGACTCTTTGCTGCAACGTCCATTTCCAGGACAGCGACCGCAGCGCCTGAGCCGGTGGCCCATGCGTTTGGAGTGACCGGTGGCTCACGGCGGACCTGCTGTCTAAACGACCGAGCGCGCTGCCCCCCCAAAAAGGGGCCAACAGCACGCACTTGCTGTGAATGCGCACCGTGAGTGGACGGCTGTGATTGGTTGAGCAAAGTTTGGTAGCTGGGGTGAAGCACCACATGCATCACAAAAGTCCAAGTAGATGCAGTATATGCGTCTTTTGCAGTAGCAACAATGCTTCCAAGTTTTGCCTGTCCATGTGCATGCTTTGACCTCAGAAATTATTCGCATGTCAAGTGTCTTTGCAAACTTACCGATCTTTAGGACTTCGATCCACCATAGGCAGCTGCATTTTCCTGCTGTGTGCATGTTGTCCAGTGTGTGCACCTTGTCACCTTTTCTGGTTGGACTAGAAAACTATAAAACAATTCAGGGGGGTCCTCTGCCCCATGCAATATCGTGCAATCCTTTGCTTTCTCCATATGTGGGTGTGTATTTTAATAGGACGACCCTCAACTAAGGGGTTTCTATTTATATACTTGCCTGGGAGGTCTCCTATTTGAGCTACACACCCATGGCTCTCATTTTGAGTCGACTGCCCCCCGACTACAACTTCCATGGACCGGGAAGTCACCAGCAGAGCGACGCGACGCGATGGAAACCCACCGCACACGGCTGATGGACCACTGTGGGCCGCAAACATGGTGAAGATTTGTTTGACACTCTGACATGATGCCAAAACAACCTGAAGCTCCAGCGGAACAATAAGCTGGAGGCCATTGCCATTAGGTTGGAGGCCATCGCTATTAGGTAACTTAAAAGAATAATGTTCTCTTCTCTACAAAGGGATGCTCCCGGTCGTTTCACCTGCGCCCCAGGTCACTGACCTGCGGACCTGCGCTGGACCTGAGGAAATCGGAGGTGAGACCGGTGTGACGTGACCGGCGGTGTCGTGTGGCGGTTTGGACTCAGCGGAACCGGGCTCCAAGTTACGAGTTCGGTTCTTTTTAAGGCTCTTTGGGGGTGGGAACTTCCTGAAGACCGCAACTTAGGATACTTAGGCGCCTACCATTATTTTCTTTGAGCTTTCTTTTCGGTGTCAAACTTCCTTCACCTCTTCGAATAATTGAAACTTCAAAGAAGAAGATTCACCAGGGACTCAAAGAAGGCTTGGGTGAGATCTTGGATCAAATGAAATATGCCAAAGGGACTCAGAGACTTCCCGAAGAGACTTTGAAACATTTTTTGGGTCAGATCTTGAGACTTCATCAGAAATCTGGGAGATGTATCTTACCACCCCCAGAAATCCTCAACCATTTTAGATGTCTCCTTTTTGCTTTTGGAGGCGTCTCCACTCTGCCGTGCAGGCGCGAAAAAGGGCGACGGTTCGTGGTATCAGGAGATAATATGGCCAGCTTGAAGAAAAGATGGGTTCTTTGGGGATGCAAGAGGTCCAAGAAAGAGACACTTGTTGCGCTTGTTGTGCCTGCTCTCCGAGTGTTTGACCTTGCTCACTCACGCGGGGAATGAACTACTTTCTAACTGTCCATGTGGAGCAGACCACTCAGACAGGGAAAACAGTTCGTTTGATGGTTCCTTTGCGAGGGGATAAGGCTGATAAGGGCGGTCGCAAGTGGATATGAGTGTAAGCTCTGGAGCTGCATTGGAATGGTGGGCGAGAATCACTGTAGTAACACCACCGTTGAAATGCATGGTGTTCCTGCACAGATGTTTTATAGCAAGAAAAGTAGCGTAAGTCGCTGGCAGGAAATCTTGGAAGCCGGTACCCAGGCATATATATGAGATTTGTCATGTCCACTTTTGTGCGTGCAAGTTGTTCATTTTGTCATGTTGCTGAAGCCAACGATGTCATACAGCAGCCCCTTCTGTGTATATCACCAACCAGTCACTCAGTACCACATTTTTTCAACTTTTCGGTGGAGGCAGCAACCTGTCAGTCCCTCAGTGGAGGGCAGAGAGAGAGGGAGTGAGAGAGAGAGAGAGAGAGAGAGAATGAGAGAGAGAGAGAGAGAATGAAAGAATGAGAGAGAGAGAGAGAGCAAGGCTACAGTTTTTGTTTGCAACGGTGTATTTGCAGTGCTACAGAGTCTACAGAACGACGTGTTTCAGCGTTCTTCGCATGGAAAACATCCAACACGTAACGTATAGATGGTCCTGGTGCTTGTAGATATTTCTCTGAAGGATACTTTAGGGATCTTTAGGGTGACTAGACTATGTCCTCGACATTCCAGAGTCTTGAGGCGTTTAGTTTCATCCATATGTCATGGCCCTTCACCATCCCCAGACTTAAAAGGTGTCCTCCTGGCTTTACGACAGGTGTATAATATACCCTCCTTCCCTTCAATTCGACACCTTGAAGATGAGCCCTGTCGCAGTCCTCTGAGCAATCCCCAGGATTTTTGTCCATGTGGTTTTTGTTGACCATTTATATCCCCTTCAAATCCCCTATCAGGTTCTTTTTTTGGCTCGGGGGTCTCCCAGTTGAAAACACGTCCATGTGGCACTTGTTTGCTGCCTGTGCTCGAACAGCATCAAAGTCACACCACAAAACTGTTGTCACTAGGCCTTGAGGCGAGCCCTTGACATACGCCGCCCCTGACACACCAAATGCATGACACGGTCATGCACGGTCCCTTAGTTGATTCTCCGTGCCAAAGACAGGGTAGGTGCGAGGAGAATAAGGGAATGGCTCCATTGGCACACTGCGAAGTTCCAACTTCAGCACGACAGGGGGTGGTGATGGTGGCTTCTCTTTTGGGAGCAGAAACTCGCAAAACTCGCAAATCCAAGTGAGTACCGCATGGTACCACCCTTTAAGGATTCATGATAATTAGGATACTTTGTGATCATTGCAAAGCATTGCCGACGAATTGCAGCAGTTGGATTCAGCCACGTTGCTTTCCTTTGTCGATGGTACGTTTTTTTCCTTTCGAGCCTGAGGCCAGCTTTCCATTCTGCCAAGGCGTCGAGCTGTGGGTCGTGGAAGTCATCACTAGATCTGGGTTGGATCGAGAGCCACAGGTCGCAGGTTTGTTCGCAAACTAGGAGAATATTCACCAAGACATAAGCTAATGATTTTATTCCTGTATATTATATGATATTATATGTATATTATATGCACGTGGAGACCTAAACCGGTCAAAAGGCTGCAAGTGCCTTTTCTTCTTGAGCGCAAACAAGGGCTTCGGTCATGCCCAAGTGACCACATGTTCAAGTGGCATCTAAGACGTGTCACCTCAAGACACAAACACAAGCGCTCCCCCTTTTTGGAGGTCGCACTTCCAAAAACATCTCCGAGCTTCTGTCAGCTCAAGCCCTTCATCTGCATCGCTCGCATGGGCGGAGAGTCCGGCCTTCATCCACCCGATGCGGCAAGTCTCGCCGATGCCCCGTGCCATCAGCCACCACCATCTCGCCTGTGGTGTCCATCTCATTTCGGCCCCAGCAGGCCGAACACTTCTGGATCTCCAGCACCAGGTTGGAGTGCCGGATGGCTGAGCAATCCCGGCGCACATGGAACACCTGCGCACCTTCCACCCGCCATGGTCGGCCGTGCCATCGCACTCGAGCCAAACCAGAAGTAGTTGGCTGCGCTTCAGCTTCCTGCTCTTCCTTGACGCCAGAGCTCGGTGGACACCCCCGCCTGACTGAGCAAAGTCTTGGTCTGCCTGGAGATAGTCCCAACCTCAGCCTCTGCACGCCCATTCATCTGCCAGCTATCTCCATCGGTAAAGGTCCTGTAAAGGTCCCTGTGCATGCACCACTGTGCCATTTGGCGTGACCTCAGCTCTGAGAGTCTGATGCACGGTCCGAGTGGAGTCGTAAGACCGGCAAACCCATGAATCGTAGCCGTGCGTAGATCTTGGCTACTGCTTGCAACACCAGAGGCCCCCTCCGGCTTTCGACCATCTCAACGGAGGTCAACCGGCGAATCTTGACGCCCTCTTCATGCTCGATGCATCCCCTTCGGCTGGCCGCTCTCCTCTGGCGTCTTCGCCAGCCCCATCCGCTGCCTCCTCAACCGGCAACAACTCACCCTCCGCCTCCTGCCGCTCGCCCTCGTCCGCGGGCTTGAGCAAAGCATCACCTTCTGGAGTGATCGGCAGAGTGTAGACACCCACAACCATGTAGCGGGCTTTTCCACCGTAGTTTCCACCTTGATCCCTCCCAACCTCAAAAGGTCCACCGAGGTCAAAGCTCAAGGTGTAGGCATGCGGGTGCGTCACCCGCTTGTGCATCCGCTGCCTGCCAGCCGTTTCAAGGCAGGTGCGACATTCCTTTCGGAAGGGCTGGTGGTCATTCTTCAAATGAGCTTCCCACTGGTCCCTGGTGAGCCTTGCCGCTCGCCGACCTTCAAGGAACATCTCCACCGCAGCCAGGAGTGCCTTTTTCAGACCTGGCGCCCATTCCGCCCATTTTTTTGAGTCTTTTAGCCGCTGCTCCAACCAAGGTGGTGCCAAGACCATAGGATCGCCCAGGGCCCCTCACCTCCAGCTGCTTCATAGCCACCAGATTTGTACCCAGGCTTGCGTCTTTCATGGCCCATAGGCCCCTGATCAAAGCTGATCAGCATCATGTCGAAAGCTTCAGCGAAGGCCTT